AAATATCGTGTCCTATCGATTGGCGAGAGGCGGGGTGAGTACGGTAATTGCAGTGACATTTACCGCATACCGCAAGGGAGAATGGAACATTCTCCCAGTTCTGGATGGAAGCAACAAACTACGCGGCGAAATTCGTTTGATTCGAACGACTCTTGCACTTACCATTGAGGCACAAATTTGAAGTAGGGTAAATAAGTAGCATCAGCTGGCCTTACTTATCCAATCTACTTAGAACCTGTGCCCCAATGATAGCCGCCGGAGTCGTTTAAATCACCACGAATTTACATTGGGTGAATGTACCCGTATCCGTGCAGGCATGTGTGTGGTATGTGTGTGTACTTGGGTAAAATGGCATGGAGTAAGGGTGTATCACAAGGCAAGGTTATTGTCACCTCTGAAAAGAAAATTTATGGAAGAACTGTTACCGTAATCAACTTTATTGAAGATACGTATGTAAATAGTAAGATTTCTTGAGTGACGAGTTTTCGCCATCCAAGTACACGTTAAATATGAGCGATTTTCAGTGGGTAGCATGATACCGTCAGTTCCGGACGTATCTGAAACTGGCCGACATTCGGTCCGAAATAGTTTGTGGTGTCATTAGACTTACTTAGCCGTCCAATCTATCCGACCTGCGTTGGATTGTTTCGTGGCGACGTTATTGTTTAACGTTCTGGCACCGAAATTTGGGACATATCCTGAAACATATAGAGGACTATGGCGGATGATACGAATATTGAAACAATGCGGCATTGAGGGATTGTGTGAAGGAAATGAATCAGATGAAACAAAATGGATCGATCGCCATTCTGAGGTCATTTGGCAAAATCTTTTTTTGCTCCGTACAAGTCATCTACAGTCACTTCTTTTCGTCCATTAAATGGTTTTAGCTGGACAGCTTGAGGCTTTCGATCCATTTTCCCATCTGAGAAAGAAAGGTGCTGTGTGATGCCGCGATCAGAAGACCAGAACAGAATCCGCCTGACCAGTTGATTCTCAAAACCTCTCAGCTTGATTTACATTCAACTCTATCAGTTTGGATGTACTGGTCTTGAGATTCTGTACTGACGTGGAGGAAGTGTGTGTTGGTATAGAGAAAGAGGAGGAGACTAACCGTATGCGTACTCGAACCTAGCCTGTACTGCTGAGCGACTTTTAGCGCTTGGTGCTCCACCAACAGCCAACGTATTGTTTCCTCCACCTTCTTTTGGTACTGCTCCTGAAAAAAACCTTGTAACTTGGCTTGAGCCGAGAAATTTTCAAGCCTTCTTGGAGCGGTTTTATGGTAAATGGGACTGTCCTCCGTAACCAAAAGGCAGTGGCAACATAGTACTCGGAGAGGAGTACTATGTTGCCCCTTAATGCTCCGAAGCTCCTTAATGTAAGTGGACTGATTCCACAATGAGTGGTACTTCAAGTTTTTTGTGACGAGAGCAAATGTCATTTTTGGGGTCAGCTTGGCCAGAGTGTGAAAATATGGCTGAGCTCGGGGACTTTCAGATGAAGTCAATCTATATTGGACGGTGTGAATGATCAACTTTCCCCAAGTAATGGGGTTTAATGTACATATCTTTTTTCCTCACGGGAAATGATCGCCTTTTAAGAATCACTGTTGCAAAAAAAGAAATGAGCTGGTGGGTTTCCCTTGATAGTTGCTTAAATGATCTCACCTGGGATAAATTTCGATTTGGACAAGTAGACCTCCCTAGCTGGCTTCTTCTCACTTGATTTGTTCTTTGATGCATCCACCTTTTCGAGTTTTGTTGTGCTTTCATCCAGTCTAAAGGAACTTTGATTGCTAGGCTCTTTCGATCTCAAGCATTCATAAAGTAATAACAAGATTTTGCAAAAGCAGTAGTTTTTGCTATGCTAAGTATCGCCTTCTCTTTGGAAAGATTATTCTCGACTTACTTATCGAACAAGTTTGATTTATTGAGTGGAATATTGCGATTCATATGACGCTCAATGGGTTTTCCTTGTGGAGAAACGTTTTCGGAGCCTGGATATTCCTTAGCGACAACCTGGAAAGTTCGCATTCAAGTGGAATTCGATAAGCATCGAATTTGGTTGACCTTCTGCTTGGTAATGACAGCTTTGGTGTCGCTCTGGGTGCTGCCGGCACTCGTCTTTCTAACACTTCCTGGCGCTGGCTGACTCATAACAGGAGCTCCCAGTTTCTCATTCACTTGGAAGTACTTGTATTTGAGGCACTAAAAAATCATAAGTTGAATATGGTGAGGCCCTCCTCAGGGCGAAGCCAAAACACTTACTCAAGCTCTCACCTGTGCAGCGTTTGGCCTTTTCTCTGGATTCCACATCATCATATCCGTCATCAGTTTCATCCCATCCTTCCCCGCTGTGTTTATAATCGTCTCCAGTGGTGTCGGTGGAGCTTGAGGGAAGCGGAAATTCATAGCCGTCGCCAGTTGATATCCTTCAGGCCAGTCCTCCTTTAAAGTTGATGTTTAGAACGGTTTTCTGTAGTGGGTGAAAGTGCATTGGTGGGGCTATTTCACAGGTGTGATCAAAGGGCCAAATTTATGATCATTTTATTATACGCAGTTGATTCACGAGATCGACGCTTATCTTTGAATTTCGGTTTCTCACTTTGAGGTTTGGAACCAGGCGTGTACAGAAAGTGTTATACAGTAGCTCTCAAAAGTACTCGGCCACACGCTTTATCGGCTGTACCTTTTTTCTCACTGGAGCAGATCGCGCAAAATTTTGGTGTGTTTATCTGATGCTTATTTCACACCATCCAAAACCGTTTTACTGCATAGCAGTAACTTTCACTAACTAACGGCAGGGTATGTTTCAAGTCGTGTGTCGGACGATGCGCGTGGCAAACTGTGCGGCGAAGTTCGTAACGATTTGAACGACTTCAGCGCCTAGGTGATTCTAAGTCCAAGCCCTTTGGGGTATCTGGAACATGATCAGATTGCAGGCAATAGCTTAAATATTCATAATACACTCATGCTACACATATTGAAATTTCGCTTGATGAGATCCAGTAGGAAAGGAGTTATGACTGAAAAGTACGACTGACGAAGCATTCGGCCGAATGCTTTTGAGCGCTACTGTATATGGAGAGACAGTTAGGATAATGTAGGGTTAAAAGAGCAAGGAAGACAAAGCAGAATATAAGGCTCTGATAATTCTTTGAGCATCTAACCATGCGGTGCATTCTGCGTTAGATCAGTTTTTCGGAAATGCTGTTCTTATTATTTCTGAACTAACTGACTTCTATAACGTACCTTACTGGGTGTTCCCATAATGGTGACGATTTTGAATAGTTGATCGAGCTCACTAGTGCCGGGAAATAATGGTCGAAGCATGTACAGTTCTGCCATTATACAGCCAAGGGCCCATATGTCTATGGGTGAATTGTAGGAAGTGGATCGTAGAAGGATTTCTGGAGCACGGTACCTGAATAAAATTAAACTTGAAAGGTATTATTATTGTTCTGTCCTTTATTATTCGTGTTTGATTTTAGGGCTAGTTAAGAGGATTAAACTATTCCACTTATTATATCAACAAAAGTTGCCGTTGGTTTTCTATACAAAAAAAAATTGTAAGGGCGTTTAGCGCGTTTACAAAGCGGTTACTATGACAAGTTCCCTCCTACGTCAGGGATAGATTGAAGGGCGTCATGCTTACATCAAATTGCCTCTTCCAACTTCTTGCTCAGACAGGCTAACATCTCTCGAATAGTGAATTAGGATAAATAAAAAAAGTAAGCATCAAACCCTGACAATAAGTAAGTTCCCTTGCACTGAGCTTTTTTACCGCGATACTTTCCGTACAGTCACAGAAGATTAATAAAATTTACTTTGCCAGCTCAAGCTAGCAATGTTTCAGTATACATCAGTTGTCAGAAAAGTCTCTAAAGAGCCTAGAAAGGCCATTAAGTATGAGAACCCAATGACGTTCAATACTAACCCTGCCATTTCTTTTGCGACATCTGTTTAAAGGATAATTTCAATCGGGTGCTGATGAAATCGCGAATTCAAAGCTCTAATCATCTCTAATCATTCTTCACTATTCCCCTCTCCTGACCTCTAAAATACAGACCGAGTAATTCCAACCGAGTATGGACTACCCGAATAACACCGGAAGTTTTGATTCATCCATTTTTGCAAGTGGCTTAGAGTGACTGCGCTCCATCCGACCAATACATTGCCTACTCTTATCCCCATAGCACTTCTGCTACAAGCGGTAGGTGTGGCGAGTGCGGCATGCCTGTGGGAGAGGGGCTGGTTGCGAATAGGCGACCGTGTCTGCACCTTCTGACCCAACTCATTCATCGGGTTGTGAATGTCTATGAGTCAGCACCTGCCATCACCGTCAGTGGGGCGGTTTTTAGATCAACGATGAAGGGCTGCAGAATGATTACTGAGCGGCAACCTGCTTTTGACGTGCCACGACTTTGCAAGTACCGACCCTTGCTTGTTTCACAAAGCCCGATCTCATGGCCCTCACTCCACCACAAAGTAGAAGAATAATGTTCATTGGTTTCTTATGAATTCCCTCATGAAGGTTCCATTTTGAATTCCCTTATAAAGGCTCCCTTCTGAATGGTTCAGCCTCTGCAAAGCCGCTGAAACTCGTCCACTAGGTGTATGGCATTCACTCGATACAATCTTTGGTTCCTTATTGTGCCCTATCCAGGATGTTTTACGACCTTATAGCGACAGGTATGGTATAAGGGGGAGCCTCGGATTTATGCTATACGGAAAACTAGAAACCGTTTTTACCGTGAATTGTTCCTTTAAGTGGTTGTTTCTCGGTCGCAAACGGTGTACCCTTTATCGTAAGCATGCTCAACATGCCTCATAGGCTGCTTATCTTTGCTGTTTTTTTTCCTTTGGTCTCTGGGCTGTTTTGAACAAAGTTATAAGTTTCTATAGGAAGCATCACTCAATTAAAAAGGCTGAGTAGTTGTAGTTTCCAATGCACCACGTCGTTGACATTTACCCTTTTTTTTCTCGACGTTAGCCTATTCGGGGACAGAGTTAAGGATATTCTGCATCAGGCATTGCATGTCTCACTGCATGCTTCGTGCTCTGCTTGAGGAGTTAGCTTACCTCTACTACGTTCATCTTGGTCTGTACCCCACCCGAGAACCCTCCGACTTTCACAGGGATTTTTCCAGGTTTCACAGAAATTTATGACAGGCAAACAAGCATAGCGTTTCATGGTACAGCAAATTGAAATCTAATTTGAGGATCCATTGTAAAGCGAAAAACTAAAGGAAATCGGAAGCGGAAAATTCTATCGTATGGGTTTAATTCGCAAATGAAGCATCTATCATAGAGCACGTTGAATCGCACCTATTTTTTATTTGACTGATTGATCTATTTGATTAATTTTTGAAAAAAAAGTCAAAAGATCCTCTGACCATCTCGTAGAGACGTAGTCCGTGTAGGGCGGTTTCGATCGAACTTCTCTAGCCAATCCAAAATCGGCAATTTTTACCAGTTCAGTGCCATTGCACATAATATTCTCTGGTTTCATGTCTCTATGAAAATACCCTGAAATAGGTTCATTGGCTAAATTGCTGGTTTGAAAGTTTTTGGTATCATTATTTAAGTTATTTTCGTATCCTGGGTGAGTTAGCTCTGACTTTGTCGAATTTCCATTAAAGCGACTACAAAATCCTTATTATATAAGTCATTTCGTAGTTTCTAGCATACTCGAAGAATCCGAAAAAAAGCTTTCCTCTATAATAGATGCGTAATGAATTGGACGTATTTCAACATAAGAAGCATTATATTGCCAGAAAAAAANAAAAAAACGATTTTTTACAATTTCCTATTTCCTCTTTTAGTGAAGAGTATCACATTCGTTGGCTACGGTACCACAAGTGAAAAAATAATCGCTGTGTTCAGAGAGCTTTCAGTTTATGATGTCTACTCATCAGCGTGCATAACCTATTATTAACATTCTCCTGAAAGACTGATAAATTCGATCGCTACCGTTTTCAATCCACCCTCCTTCTCGAAGGACTTTCAATTCGAGCTAGGGATCCATAGATAACCTTGGAAAGAACCAGGAGGGGGTTCTGATTGGTATCCATATTTCTATTTAATTTTACATGAAAATCGTTGTGCCAAAGTTTTCACTTTGTTGCCTATTTCTACTTTTTTATGGATTTGAAGCGCTATTCCTTGGTCAATGCGATATAAAACGATGTTCACCGCTATTGATTGGTTGGTATCAAGTCAAACCATTTGGGTAAACAACCCGCCTGTAACTCCCTGAAAAGTTTAAGGTTCTGCGACTAGAAGGAGATAACTTGTGATTTTATGACCACCAACGGTACAGGCCCTCAAGGCAGATATACTTAGCCTGTCATACATTGTCATGATTCCGACTTTTAAAAACTTGATCATTGTCAGACATGCTTCCTCGACAATTTTTTAACCTTTCCTACTTGATGATGGATAAGATCCAGTTGTACAAATCTACTTATTACTCTTTTCTATTTGTTTCATCGATTATCTTCTAAGCTTTTTAACATTTTCCCATATTTCTGAGCACTAGCAAAGTAGGAAAAAGCCAAAAAGGCGAGCGAATAGCTTGATGATGGTTGAAAAAATGACATTGAAAAGCGAATAAATAAAAATTGTAGATTTTCATGATTGGGTTATGCTTGATAAGAACTGACCGTTTCTATGCATAAATGCGAGTCCCTGTAATATTTGATATATAATATTGCGTATCACACTTTCTGGGAAATATCGGTCCCTGAATTGTAGTGAGTGGGTGAGTGAATGCTGTTGTGACAGCTTGATTGACTTGAAAATTGGCATGGGAACTAACCTGTCTTTCATCAACTCGTACAAATTTTCTTGCATATATTCGAACACGAAATAAAGAACGTCGTTTTCTCGTATTACCTTAAAAAAGAAGAGTTTTTAAAAGTTCATTGAGTTAAATTAAGATTTGATAGACTTGCTTTCCCTTTTTTTTTATATATGTGAGTAAGTATTCCTGGTTTTATAATGTAGAGTAGTTCAACTGTGGTTCATGTAGTCTGAATCTTTTCAGATTCCAGAGACCTGATTGACTTCAAAAGATCCATTCCCACGTATCATACAAATCATACAAATGCACGTGCCTCTGATTTAGCGCCAGTCCCTTCCCACGGTCGCGCGACAGGGTGCTGAATACATAGGGATTCTGTGCACTATGGCTCAAGTGATGTTACCTTTACATATGGGTTTCCAGTTTTCCAGTGACTGATTTCAAATCCAATGACGGCTCACCCACAGAAACGGCTGGCTCGGCATCAATCTTTTTGGGGCTCAGAGGAGAACAGCGTAAGGAAACAAAAACAAGAAAATAATCTCCGGCGAATTATTTGCCTATTGGAAACAAGTGAAATGAAATCATGAATGATCGCGTAATTAGTCAGAATAAAGTTTCTTGTGAGGCTCTTTCCGACTATACTGCACACGCTTGGAGCTTACACTTTACTGCAGCTCTTAGCCTTTTGAAGTTTGAAAAGGTTTATATTCGTGAGTAGCCGAAATCAGTCTTCCCTCGTAGAAGATTCGGGACCACATATTCACGTCAGTTCTAGTAACCCTACGTCCACTGCTGCTGCTAGCCCAGTTGGGAAACATTTTACTTAGCGGACGCCCCATCTAATACTCATTTAATAATTTTGTCCCTGAGGCTTATCTTTCTTCAATGATTCCACCTAATAGAGTGGTAAGTAAATTTTGCATTGTTGTGGATAAACAAATCAATTTCTAGTTGAGATTCAGGTAAAGGTTCTAAACCTACATCGCTAAGTGTTAGGGCATTCAAAAATTGCTTTTAATAATTTATTACAACTTTTCAGCATTTCAATCAAATTTTCATTATAATCTTAGATACAAGCTCTATAAAAAAGAAATTACAAAACCCTGGTCAAGTAAGGATCTCCAACCTCTCTTAACTTGATGATATTCGGATGAGGAAGTTTCTTCAGCGCCTTCACTTCTCGGAGGGCTGTCGCTTCCTCCCACGTCTTGAACTTTTTCTTCATTCTGAAACGAAATGGTGTGTAAATGGGTTTTTGTGAAGAAATGACTATACCTAGGGAAAAATTCTCTTTTGTTCTCCCGGCTTTTTGTAATTCGATATATAGTTTTTGCATTAACGAGGGAAAAGGGAGGGAGTTAAGGATTAGAAAGAGTCTTTAGGAAGTTTACTAGTGTACTGTTTTCATTCAAAAGGGCATCACTTCTTCAAAGAGGGAGCTTCGGTGCTGATCTTGTGAACAAGTGTTTCAAGTTGAGATTAGTTAAGAGTTTTTGCTTACGAACTGCAAAATAAGTGCTTTTAGTTAATTACCTGCTTAGAAGGATCTGCTGTTTGGTCCAATGTATCGAACCGGTAGATTTCAGCAACCAAAGATCGTTAATAAGCGTTTTTAGCATTTTGGCACTTCCAGCGGAATGTATTGGAAATGCTGCGCTTTTAGCAACCTTTGAACACTCTCAAATTCAAAAAAAGTCATTGCACACGTTATGGCGCAACTCTTGAAATGCTAAAATCTTTGTAAAGTATGGAGGCAGAAGAAATTAGAAAATTTGCTCTTCAACAATCTTCTGCAGTTTATAGGATCAGATTTATCACTGATTCTTCCTCATCTCTCTGGTTTATGTGCGTAGGGCCGGCTCTGAGCCACCGGAATTGGTATATTGGCCTCGGCATCGACGAGCCATCCTATAGCACCTGGTGCCTCTTCTAATGCTTGAGCGATTGCCAAAGAAAGGGTCTGGCGCGCTTTCTCAGAAATCATACACGTCATCTTTGAAATAATGAATAATTGAAGCTGCGTCGATTCAGAAATAGCTGTACTGGAGGGGTTTTGTACTGCCTTAAAACACAATTTCAAAAAGGTGGCACATGTGGCTTGCACGCCATCTGCTTATGAATTAACCGAAGTTTCAAGTCTACTGACTGCTGAAGCCAGAAATCATTTTGAGAATGGACATTTTAAGGTGCTTGCGTAACAAGTAGAAAATATTTGAGATTCGGGGAATGCAGGTGAATTATGAGTAATCGTTTGCTTCCAGAAACCCAGCCTTTCTCGAATTCTAAAAAAGCCAGTGTGCATAGCGAACACTTTCAATAGTTGGGATGTATATGAATGGGGATTGGGAAAGTTGTAGGGAAATTGGGGTTGTAAAATTTTTCGCAGTACACAGTATCAGATCTAGTCCAAACCAACTCGATTCTATCTCCCCGGTCCATGCTATCTTTGAAAACCGAAAACTTGTCCATCGTCGACCATGGACGAGTTTTCAGTTTTCCAACTGTGCCTGGAAATTCTTAAACGCACAGTCTCAGATCATAATTTCTATGATTTTTATCTATGGTTTTTCTGTGGTCCTCAATGGCAGCTCGTGGAACACTGTCGGGTCGAAAAACGATCGCGACAAGTCGTTGTGAGGGTCCGAAAACCGGCTTGGCCGACGTACCCGCCCAAGAGCGGACGTGCTATCAGGTTTTGTTAAGGATGCATCATTCACAATCAAGCGTTAGAACGCCTAGGCATAGTAGTAAGAAAGGAGGTTGTACGAAATTTTGTTTTGTAATCGCCTGGGAGACGCCCAGGCGATTACAAAGCAAAATCTCGTACAACCTCCTTTCTTACTACTTTTCTGGAGCCTGGTATTTCACAAAACCCGCCGGTTTTCGCGCTTTGAACTATTTCGTACCACAGCTTCCATTAATTCAATTAACTATATACATCAAATCTATCATGACTGGTTCATTTACTCATTTTTTATTATTCAGTCTCTTAGGGTGTGCTGACTGACCTTTTTATAGCAACTTTATCACCAGTATCGATTTTTTTAGCGAGAAGAACTTCACCAAAAGTTCCATCACCCAGTAATTTGGTCATATGATATCGGTCCGCTAGTGTTGTCATGATCTGAAGTCGTAGATTACAACAATTATATGAATTACTCTAAAAATAAGCATGTAGACGGAGAGGTTAAGCTAATTATTGAGACTGCTTCCAAGGTACATAATTGAGAATCAATACATCTGTGGAGTCGAGCTCCGAATGTTTCAGTTCGGATTGCAGGAAAAGCCGGCCTGGCGTTCACGTACTTTAGCAGAATTGAAGCGATTTAAGTAGCCTGAACAAGCGTTTATGTAGGTGCCGCGTTAGTATCGACGTGAGGACGGAAGCGAACGGGAGTTCGCTGTTTTTCGTGCAAGGAAACGCGCGCACCTTGTGAATTCTATGAAAGCATGAAAAGTACATTCATCCTTCAGGAAACTTCTACAGAAACTAACAGTAATTGAAAGAATAATTTTTAACTCTACAGTAAGCTCTTATTCAGAACCTTTTGATTTTCCAAGCTCATTAGTCATAATAGGGCACATTTGAATCATGATAAAGCCGAGCAATTGAGATAATTACTATCCTCTTTGACATTAAAATGTTTCAGAAGAGAAGCAAAAAACACTTTGTTCTATTGAAGTGCCAGTATAGGCGGAAATTACTCTCTGAACTTTGTTGTCTGCCCTGTGGTTGCCTTTAGATTCTAGTGATCCATTCAAGAGCATTGCCACTTATTGTTGGGTATGGGTGTTGATTGTAAAGGGCCAATTTTAAAAGTGGAATTTGGAAACGGCATTTTGTAGCAGACGATAAAGGAGGGTAAATTAAGATCCGCAAGCTCACTGAGACAAAAATTCTCAGTTATACTGAAAGAAGAAAGGAAGAAGTGAAAAAAGAATTTCTTGCAAAGAAGGAAGAAAATGCTAAGTGTCATTGCGGAGATTTTTGTACTACTGCAAAGATAATGCCGAGTTGTTTACAAGTAAGTGGCGATAGTGTCAAGATGTTTACTAAAGACAGATTTAACCTCAGTAGATTTCCTCTTGGAGCAGAGACTTCGGCAAACTCCCTGGGATTGAATTTATTGAGCTACTCTCGCGTGAGAGAGAAAAATTATTTTATTTGCTCATCTACACGTTTCCTATCAGAGAGTCATAATAATGTATAAAGATAATTTACTCGAGAAGAATTAGCGTATAGTGAGTGTGAATACGAGATATGATGACGGGAATCTGTGAAGAAGTGGTGGTAGAGGGGATTTGAGAGAGAAATAGAGGGAAAGCTCTGTGGCGTTGCCACGGTGATAGACTGAGAGCGAAAGAAGAAGTAGGCGCCCTAGAAGCGACCATCCTATGCAAAACTCAAACTGCCATGACAACATCAAAGGGAACTGGTATATACAATCGCCATTTCTTGGAAAGGCTGTTTGTTAATCGATTACAATGAGAGGATCTTTTGAAGTTGGGAATATTGCAATAGGTGTGGTATTAAATGAGGGCCCTTGAATCGTCCAGGTTTTCATAGCAACAAAAAAAGAAATAATCAGTTAAACTTACCATTAAAATTCAAAAATTCCCAGTATTTCTGGATTTCCCGTTAACAGAGCAGGCAGTAAACCTTATTCACTTGCTCTACCAAATTAGGTTACTAGGTAGAATATTATTGCTGCTTGGTCTTACATCTTCTTTTCGATTTTTTCTGATGCCTGAAGGTTGATTGAAGTTTTTGAAAAGCAGACTTAATGACTGAACGCCCTTGTGCTCTAGCGTTTCCGACATTGCGTATGGAAACGCTACCGGAAGTCGGTTACGATGTTGTATGGCTTATGGACTCACTCAAGATGGCACCGAGCAACAGCCTTTGTTAAGGGTTTCAAGGGGGCCGAAAGAATAACTTGAGGATCCGTGTGCTGTATTTAGCGAAGTGGTCGTCATTATGCAATTTATTCTCATCACCTTTTTTTGCGAGGATGATTTTAGGGCTTCCCCGAATGGAATCCCCAGTGCAAGGATCAAACAAATACCTTTGAAGAAATTCTCATTGTGTTTCTATTTCGTACACGTGCGAAATGGGGTGCATACAGTTAACAAGTCTTCTCACCTTTCTATCTTTTATCATTTATTACTACATCATTTTATTTTCAACTGTTATTAAATTAATTACGTTATCGTACATGATTTTTTTCCTAATACACCTCTGAATACCACAACGGCTCATAATATAATGCCAAAGTTTCAAGCGAAGTCGACGCCGTAGTGATATTTTGGGAGCCGCCATTTCCCTTTTATAATATTGTTTTAACTTTCGGCCATTTTTTTGTGACTTTACGGAGCAGAACACACAGTAGTCCTCCTAGGCAGAACATCAAATAGAATTCCAGTTCTCCCAAGCGGAAGAGATGGGTTCTATACACTGTTGCCAATGTGAGTACAACGGATTTTATGAATCTGCTGCTAACGAGGGCTAATTAGAAGGATAATGGTAGAATCTAGGTCGCGGTCTTTATGTTATCTCCAACACATTGCTCAGTTGTGTCTGAGATGTTCAATGAGACAATGAGGCTCGACATGAACTCTGGCCTGCCCCAATGTCTCCCTAAGGAATACTGCAATACGATGCCGATTTCATAGGAAAAACTCGAAAACTAGTAATAGACGATTCTCTTGCTATGTGCTTCTTGTCTGGGAACTTCGCTCAATGCCAAATGTAGACAGCTCACTCAATTTCTCATAATTCAGGTATCTAACTTATTCGTCCGAGCTAAATCCATATGACAACGAACGACGTGGTAGTAGTGACCGGATTCGGACCTTTCGGCTCATTCACCGAGAATCCAAGTTCACTAATTGTTGATGAATTGTCTCAAAAGAAGATTCCAGGTGAGAATTTGAAAACCTTGAAATATCAGGGGCGTCAAAAGCTGGTGGGCGTGCGATGGTTGACTTTTATTTTTTTTAGTATTATTTATAGAGGGATAGAGACTTTCCTGAGGGGGTGAAAGGTTTCAAAGNTAAGTTGAATCAACCGGTTTCCCCTGTGAGTTGATTGAATCTCATTTCTGGTCGTTTTTGAGCTTTGAATTGAAGAATTAAGGACTTCAAAGACAACCACTTTTCTGGACCATCGTCGTCCTGGAAATTTTGCATTTTTCGTTTTCTTTATTCCTCATAACCTTATCGGTTTTCGATGCGACCTGTATTGTTTTCACTCTACTTATTTTTAAATTAATCGTAAATGTCTTTGAAATGATAAAATTTTTGGATGTTCAAGGCATATGTTGCATTCTATATTGGATAATTTCATATACATTATGAAATATTTCTTCACAGTGAGTGATATAAAAGCCGGAATAGTAACCTTCAAAAGCCGATCTAGCCGCTCTTACTCTTTGTTCATCCTCCAAATCTAAACAATTCTTCATTAAGCAACATACTACTCAAGAGCGTTAATAGTTTTCTGTTTACCTTTTACTATATCAGAACTACGATATTGGCAGCTTTTCTGTTGCATAGTTATAATGCACTTACCTCTTTGAAAGTCTATTCGGCTTAGATCGCCACTGCTCTGATCAAAGGGTAAAGGTTGAAAACAAGTCGTAGCGTATCAAACTCATGTTTTCAATGTCAAAGCGTAAATAATTACTTCCTGAAAGGGATTTCCGTAAACAACCATGATCCTCAACCAACTCTTTATTTCCTATAGAAACACTCATGAGTCCAAGATTAACCGAATTCAACCTTTTTATTCCCATATAAATTTAGAACATATTTTTTGGCTTCCAGGCTCTGACGAAGGCGATTGACCGGAACGTTAGCGAATAAAACTTTGTATCATCTTGGTCGTGGCTTCAGAGAGACCTCCAAAGTTACAACTATACTATGCCAAGATTAAGTGATAGTCGAACATGGTTGCTTATTGAATATAACTTTTGCGGCAAAAAGTTACTTTTGTCGAAATTCTTTTGCAGGCATGTCTTCGAATTACCTAGCCGTCAGATTGAGCTG